TTGCCAACTCCCCCACTAGAAAGAATGTAAGTTACTTAATACCTTTTCTGGCCTTTATATCTTCATGTACATTCACTGTTCTTATTATATATTATTTTTTATATTATTTTTATATTGTCTTTGAATTGTTTTTAGAAAGTTTGCATTATTTATCTTATTTTGTAAACTTCTATGTTTATTTCAATTTTACTTTGAATTCGATTTCATAATGACAATTTCCAATGTTTAATTTTTACAAATAATATAGAACTCAAATGCATAAACATGAATGTGTCGGGGACGGTTACTCGTTATTTCGGATTTCTCTACAGAAATTGCGTTTTACTCCAAATTGAATTGACTAAAATGCTTCATAAGAATTAGTTCTTTGAGTATCAGCATTGGTTTGTAATCCCTTCTATTCGCGGAAATATTTGGCCTGACTAGAATTGCCGGTTTGGCTTTAACTTATAACTCGAGTAAAGACGAAACACCTTCGTATTTACGTATTTTTATCAATTATTCTTCATTGAACGGGAGTTGGTTTTTTCCCTTGAAAAGTCAACTTATTTCCGATCAATGACAATGATTACATGTTTTTAATTTTTCCTTTTACAATTGAAATTTTATTCTTCATGATGATTTAACTCCAGTCCCCATTAAAACATTATTAACATTTTGCTTTCAAGTTACTTCAAAACATCTTTCAAAATATAACTTACCAGTATGAATTCACTCTTTTAAAATAATTCTACTTTAATTAAACTTAGGAGATAATATAATCAATTAATCAATATTGTTTAGGAAATAAATTAATATTAACTAACTTTGCAGCAATTGCGCAAGTAGTAGTAACTTGTTTTCGCACTAAATGAATTTAAGATCATACAATGAACTCGGTTAATGTAACTTCATTGCACCAGCTAGTAATTAATAACAGAATAAAGTTTGAAAGAAAAAATGTGTTTTGCTTTGCCAAACGATAATACACTGCCATGTAGAATATAAAAATATAATAATTTGGGCTCAGAGCACATTTCTTTTAAATTGTTAATTTGTTGATTAAATTCAAAAGAAAATTTTTTTGCATTTTGTCATGTAGTAGCATGATTCTTTCATATTGCTGAGCTTGCTTATTAAATTTGAAACATAGATATCCTATGCTTTTCTTAGTGGCAACACAAAGCTTTTATTGCTAAGTTTTAAATAAAAATTCCTTTAACCCGCACAAAATATAAAATAAATAAATAAGGAATTCGAAATTTGGACTTTAAAGTACCCATGTATGGATGCAGGGCTTCATGTGTCCAAAATTTGATGGCTTGAGGTACTATCATTTTTCCAAAACGATAAACTGTAAAAAAATAAAAAACATAATTTTTAATAATCGAGTTTTATTATATTGCAAAATCCCATTAGTGCTAAGTTTATTTTGATATACAGAAAAAGAAAAAAAAAATTTGATAAGAGAAACACGCTAATGTGACAATCAAAATCGTAAAAAACAACCTTATATTTAGCGTAGGTATAATGAAACACTCAATCGATTTCGAGGGCAGCTAAAGGTCCCTCCTCATCAGGAGAAAGAAATACATAGAAAGAAGAAAATAGGAATCACAGAAACACGTGGTGCTTATCAGCACTGCACGTGGTTATAACTAGATTTTTAATCAGAGTTGCACTGGCCGCCTACTTTTACTGAGCCAGGCTGTCTGATCAAGCATAAAGAAATATTAGCGAAGTTAAAATAGGGAGCGAGGGGCAAATGCATGCACATTACGCTCAAAATCTGAACTTCAAATAATGGAAAGCAACCACTGAACGGATTTTTATACCCTCTGGTAGTACCAAGTGCGAGGAGGTAACGCCATCTATCGGCAAAAATAATTGAATTAAGACAGTAGAATTTTAAAGGCATTAGGAAGGACTGGATTGGACTTCAAATCATTAACTAAACTTTCTAAATCTTTGTGAATGTGAAAAGCCTCAAGAAAATCCAATTCGCCTATGGAAGAAGCCTTTTGGATGATTTTTGCAGACCCAAAATCAAAATTATGGTTAAAAGTCCAGCTATGATACGCTATTGAAGACTTGTTAATTTCCCCTTTTTTGACATAAGATTCATGTTCCTTGATACGAAACTTCAACGCTCTTTTTGTTTGGCCAATATATCTTAAACCACACTGACATGATATACTATAAATTCCCCAAGAATTCAAGACAGAAACGCAATCTTTTAGAATCGAAGGGTGAATTTTATTAATAGGGGAGAAACCGACTTGAAAATTGAATTTCTGGAGAATCCGTGCAATTTTATAGCTAACAGAAGGATAAAATGGAAGCACGACAAGGTCATTGATATTATTTCTAACAGTGGAATGTCTTCTTTGATGGGAATCTGAAAATTTTTTGACGGCTTTATCAATAATCACGGGAGAAAATCCACGGTCAATCGCAACTGCTCTCAAATAATTAAGTTCATTGGTAAGCAAAGATTCAGAGGAACAAACTTTTAGCGCGCGGAAAACATAATAGTAAAAAGAAGCCATTTTTTGCTTAACAGGGTGGCATGACTTGGCATGGGGTGGTAAACAAACTGCAAAGGGTTTACGGTACACAGTGGTGCTAAAATCGGTTTCATTGCGGATTATAAGAATATCGAGGAAGGGGAGGGAATTGTTGGATTCAATTTCAAGAGTGAATTGGATGGCTGGATCAATTGAATTCATAATAGATAGAATCTCGGATAAATCCTCTTTATAACCGTCAAAAAGTGCGAAAGTGTCGTCAACATACCGAATCCAAAGACGAAAAGATAATTTATCAAATAATTTCATCTCAAAATAGTGCATATAAATGTCAGCAAGTACCGGACTGAGAGGATTACCCATAGCCAATCCTTCAACTTGACGAAAATATGCATTTTGGAAAACAAAGTGGGTTTGACTTAGAGAAACTTTAGTAAGCGAAACCAACTCATTAATTTCAGTATGTGTGAAGTGAAATTCCCGAAGCCTAGTTTCAAGACAATTTAGTGCTCCTTCGACCGGAACATTAGTAAACAATGATTTGACATCAAATGAAACCATAATGGAACGAAGTGGGGAAATATTTTTAAGTTTATCAATGACTTCAACAGAATTTTTTACAGTGTGAATATTGTTATCAAGTAGAGGAGAAAATCTGGAAACTAAATATTTGGCCAAAGGATATGAAGCAGTACCTATGTTGGAAACAATTGGTCGAAAAGGAATACCGGTTTTGTGGACTTTTGGAAGAGCATAAAGTCTAGCGCAATTAGTAATAGGCGGAATAAGTGATTTCTTCAACTGAGTTGGCAGAATGTGGGAAGATTTAATAGCACTTTTTACTTTCATGAGGTCCGAAGTTGAAGGATCTTTAGGGATCGAGCAGTATGGGCCTTCATTTATCAATTTAGAGACTCCAGTAATATATGTGTGTTTGTCCATAACAACGATCTGTCCGCCCTTATCAGCTTTAGAGATAATGATATTAGTATCAGAATGAATTTCACGTAAGATCTCATTTTCCTTTTTGCTAAGATTAGAACCCAAAGATTTATTGTTAAAATTAACGTTATGAGTAATTAGGTGGCGGATTGTATCCTTCTGCGTTTCCGAAATTTTGGAGAATTTAAAGGCTTTCTCTATAGGGGCGATGATTTGAGGAATTGAAGGTTTAGATGTCTTTGAAAAGTTGAAATTATATTTTAATACTTTTAACTGATCCTCCGAAAGATTCCTATTGGAGATATTAACGATGGAGTTAACGTTTACAGTGGGAAGATCAGCTAGATAATTGGGACTATCCGACTGGTGTGTGAGTTTTTGGAATTTAGAAATGAGCACATTTTTATGCTCCACAAGTCTTCAATAGCGTATCATAGCTGGAATTTTGATTTGGGTCTGCAAAAATCATCCAAAAGGCTTCTTCCATAGGCGAATTGGATTTTCTTGAGGCTTTTCACATTCACAAAGATTTAGAAAGTTTAGTTAATGATTTGAAGTCCAATCCAGTCCTTCCTAATGCCTTTAAAATTCTACTGTCTTAATTCAATTATTTTTGCCGATAGATGGCGTTACCTCCTCGCACTTGGTACTACCAGAGGGTATAAAAATCCGTTCAGTGGTTGCTTTCCATTATTTGAAGTTCAGATTTTGAGCGTAATGTGCATTTGCCCCTCGCTCCCTATTTTAACTTCGCTAATATTTCTTTATGCTTGATCAGACAGCCTGGCTCAGTAAAAGTAGGCGGCCAGTGCAACTCTGATTAAAAATCTAGTTATAACCACGTGCAGTGCTGATAAGCACCACGTGTTTCTGTGATTCCTATTTTCTTCTTTCTATGTATTTCTTTCTCCTGATGAGGAGGGACCTTTAGCTGCCCTCGAAATCGATTGAGTGTTTCATTATACCTACGCTAAATATAAGGTTGTTTTTTACGATTTTGATAGCATGCTTTACCAAATAGCTGTGGGGAAAATAAAAATATTTTATTACAAGTGTAGTCCTGCTACACTAACTGTATAGTTCTATCTGAATTTTGAGAAAAAACACCTAGGAGGGAATCCAAGGGTCTCCCTCCCCTATCTCCTCCCACCAATCTCTCGAGGACTTTCGACTTGCTGTGTATTTTGAGTGCCTCCCTTGTAGCACAAACACTATAGTAGGTCCCCCAAACTCAAATCTCGATATCTTGACATTCTGTACCACTCAACAACTGTTCAAAGATGAGTGTTCGTTTTCTGTAATTTTTGCTGTTTTCGCCATTGTATTCTTGGAACTGCCTAACAAATTTCAAGAATACTTGGCAAAGCTGTCTGCTTCTTTCGAGGATACGAAGAAAGTTGCCGCTGGCTCACAATCCTTTCTATTGTTGAGAAACGTTAGGAGACTTGTCTGAAGTTTTGTGACTGCATCTTATTGCAAACTAAACTCTCACTTCCAAGCGTATAAGTGTTAACATATTTTTGGGAACTCTTGAAATTTTGTGAAGCGAAAATGTCGTTCAAAAAGAAAAGAAAAGAGATTACCATTACAAGGAAAATGAAACTAGATGCCTTAAGAAGACTGGACAAAGGGGAAAATGTAAACAAAATTACCGTGCATTTAGGTGTTAGACAGACTACTTCCATAGGGTGGAAAAGAAGATGTCCAAAATCGAGTCTTGGTGTGTGAAAAGAACATGTATAGATAGTTTTAAAGGCAGAAAAAACATGAAAGATGGTGAATACGAAAAGTGAGCTAGGTGCTTTAATTGTGGTTCAGGCAGCAAAGGAAACAGGGAACACCCATTTTATGGCCAATTTTACAAGAGAAAGCCCTAAAATTTTATGATAAATTTCAAGGAGGAGAGCATGGATTTACTGCTAGTGCTCATGAAGCTGCACAATGATGGAATGAGTATGAGAGAGACACATCCAGAAATCCGCAACACTGGGGACCAGAGGTTGTGTGAATTTTGCAGATTTCAGGACAGAAAAGATAAATCATAATATTCAGACTAAAAGTGTAAAATAAATAAGACAGATACATTTAATGAAATTATTATGTATATTATTACATTAATTTATTATATGCATTACATATATATGTAGTATATTATATTATTCATTGATATTAGTGATTGTATGGGTATTTAAAAGCATTAAGCACACATACAATAAAGACATATAAAAATAAGGGATATTAATAGAGCATATTTTTTAATACACATTACCATAGCACCCCAGATGGCCTTTCGTTCAAACGACCACAACCGCCCCAAACGGTCGAAATTCGAAAATTAGAAATAGAAAAATTTCGTTAATGGATGGGGAAGGAAGGAAACTGTTGTGACTCTCAAAAACCATTTTGGGCTGTTTGGTAGTTAAACATACAGGTTAGAAAAGGCTTTAGTTTCAAAGAGTTAAAGTGCTCTAGAGTTTAAAAAAAAAAAAAGGACAGCTCTGTTCTAAACATTTTAGGTATTTTTAACCATGTTCCAAACCTTTCATTAGAAGATATTTTCTCACTAATATCAAACTAACTATCTGTGTCAGTCTCAGAATCATTTTCTTGCTGTGATGAGCTCAAAACCGAGCCAATGATTTCATCATTGGTCATCTGATATGCCAGTGTTGGCTCATCTGAACACATCATCCATTCAACGATATATTCTTTTGCAAAGCCAACTCATTTATTCTTTCTTTCAAATATAAAAGCAATTCTCTTGTTTTATAACCACTGACCCTAAAATCAGAAAATTCACTGTCATCACTCGGTTTCAATAAGTAGAGAAGATGGCCATACATATTTACATGTTGTTTGGAAAACAGAATTGCGCGATTCACCTAACAAATAAATGTGGTCTTTGATGGTTTTTTTTTTTATTTTTATTTATTATTTATTTTTTAAATAATTACAAAGTGAAAAAGAATGGTCACTTGAAAGAATTTTTTTCATAAACTTTAATTTATTTGGATTGGAAAGGAAAAAACTTTTAACATGATGTCAATAATTTAATACTTCCGGCTATGGTATTTCCATTATGAGTCGTAATTATGAGGTCATTACTCGGTAAGTATTTTTTTGTCGATATTTCGTTCTCCATGTTGCAGTTTCTGGAACCTATAAATTGAATGTTTATATTTTAAGAGGGAACACAGATTTCAGGAGTTGGCGGATTTTAGGTCAATGGATTTTTGGTATTTGACTGTACTTTCATTATTATTAGCATTAGTGTAGTGTGAAATATCATCCCTGAAACTTTTCCCACCTTTGCTTTAGAAAAAACTTGCCTGTGGTATCCTGGGTGAAAATATTTTCCTGCAAAATTGGAAAAACAATACTACAGTAGTTTCAGTGTGTTTTTGCCATCACTTGACAAAATTGTGATCTAATAAGAAAGAAAAATTGGGCAGAACACTAATGGAGCACATAAACTCTTCTATATCTAAATTAAAACTTCTGTACTGAATACTAGTCCATATGCCGTATGGGCAAATCTATTAATTTGTTAAAAGGAAAAACTCTTGACCTTCTATTTTCTTTCATGTTTGGCCACTTACTAATTTTAACTCGAAAGGGCTATTGGTTTCGAAACAAGAATTTGCGTTGATTCACTTTAAATGCCATCCACTGTCAGTGCGTTGCTTCACTCTTCATTCGAGTGTTTTGCCATTCAGCAAATTCTGACTGAATTTGTCTTCTATGAAATAACAAACTAAGTCATTTTAAAAACAGTAGATGCAGTTCTTGGGAATATCTTTTTTACTTTTGAATTGGATGGATTTGAATAAAAATGCATTTCATTCATGATATATGTAATTAAACATATTCAATATTTTTATAGAATGATAATCTGTATTTTTCACTTTCCATATATACAGAAGATGTATAATGTTCCTATGTAATCTTAAATGTCTGTATGTCTAGTATCTCATAAAAATGATTTTCTGTTCGCTTGGACTATGTTGATAATCTGTTCTGGTAAACCATATTAAACTTTAAAAAAGCCTTTTTGGGTGACCATTAAAATCTGAAACCATTCAGATTTATTTTATTTATTTTTTTAGGTTGAAGATTTTGGTAAATCTTCTGTTGTGGACTGCTTGCTTGCCATATCTGTAGATACCTTAGTTGTGATGGATGAAACTAATCAAGATATCATATTTGTATGCCCATGTGCCTCTGTTCTTGGTTGGTCCTCCCAGACCACAAGGTACGTAAACTTTATGTAACAGTTTAAGCAAAAATTGTTAATTTTCCTAACTAAATGTTTATTTTTATTATTTCAGCCTTAAAATATTTTATCATCAAGGTGAATGTCTCGTCATACGTTCCAAAGATCCAGATGTTGATGAAATACAAGAAATAGTGAGTCGACTGCTTTGTGTTACGAATGGAGCTGAGGTAAAATTTACTTAGAAATTTTCTCCAAATTTGTATGAAAATATCAATTTGCTTTTTCTCCAAGTTACGAAAATAAGTATAGAGTTATTCTGTTATTAATAGCCATTAAATATGGTTATTGATGAACATTTTCCATATCTCACATTCTTAATTATTAGAAAATGTATATTTTAAGTATGAATAGCCAGCGAATTAGCTGAATTTTCCATACATTAACATAGTTCACTTTTTATCTCCGGGAATTCAGTTAAGACAAAATGATAATTATTCTTAGTGCAGCATTTCACAGAAATATAGAAAATAGGGTAATCATATAGTACCCAATTTCCCACTTTTAGTTATTTAGATAGTGCGACTAAAACACTATTTTTAAACATTAAAATAAATACAAATAAGTAAGAATGCATAAGTGAAAATATTCCGTTAATTAAATAATCAGTTAAATTTGAAATTCTTTCATATTTTACAAAAAAAGCCTATTTTTATGAGCCCTAAGGGCCATTTTTATGAGTTATTGAGTTATACACATTATAGATGTCATGCAATATGGCTAAAAAATAGTTATTGCTTTTATTAATGGATCAGCATCATTCTCCTGTGAGGTAATGTGGAAGCAACTAACTTAAAGCAGTAGTTTGAATGTTACATGAATACTGAAAATAGAATATCAAATATAATTTTTAAGTAGTACAGTACAGAGTCCAAAATCTGGGCATTCAATATCCACAGTGATCTAATATTCAGACCCCTAGAGCTCCAGTCCAAGTAAATAACGTACTTACAAAGTCTAAGAATGGTGAAATAACGTGGAACAAGGTGAAGCAGATGTGCCATAAATGTGATTTTTCCCCCAACAGTTCACTCCCAAAATGCCTACTGTCTAGGAAAGTCCACCCTGGTTCGATGACATTATATTGATATTGGCCAGAATCATACTTTGGCTTTTGAGTAGTTGTAGAAGGAGCAAGAGCATAATTCGGATTCTGATGCCAGCTCTGTGAGTGGCTTGCATTTTTTTCTTAGACCTAAACAATAAAAAAAGTCCTTTTGTTGCTATGTTTACCTGTGATTTATTCAATTTAAACTGATGGTCTAAAATCTGGAAATTTCCAAAATGCAAATTGATCAAAGTTCCGGGCGTTTTGATCTCAGACTTTGTACTGTTCTACAGTTTTACTACTAAACTATGTTATGCAGTTGCTAATAAACTGGATTTATATGATTTTTTTTTAAATTTATTTTTCTCTCATTGACAGACTCAAGAATTGATTCTTAGAAGAAATAGTTTAGGGCAGCTGGGATTTCATGTGCAATTTGAAGGAGTTATTACCGAAGTGGAAAATTACGGCTTTGCTTGGCAGGCTGGATTACGACAGGGAAGCCGCTTAGTTGAGGTATACTTATCTTCAAAGCAATGAACAGTTCTCTTTTTCTATTTTGCTATAATTATATGGCATATTTTAAAAAAAGGTACAAACTTTTAAGTGGTAAACACATCCTAAAGTTTTATATACCATATTTCCTCACATATTTTCCCTCTTCTTTCTAAGACTGTTACCATGGCTGGTGAACGATTGTGCCAAGTGTAATATGCTGCACTGTTTATATATTACTCACATAGTAAAATGTGATGCCCAAGATATGCTGCCTGCATCAAATAAGTAATTACAGCATTTCTTCCACATTTCCCCTCCTTTTTTTTTTTTTTTTTTTCTAATTTTATCATCTAAAATTTAAGAACAGAACATTTTTTGAATAATTTAATTTCTGAAAGACGCAGTTATAATAAGAACATTAAAAAATATTATTTCTTTAAAAGAAACCTACATTCCGGTAAGAATATATTGTGTGGTGTGTGTATATATATATTAATGTTACGATATCCATAAATAATTAGAGAAGGTGAATGGGCAGCCATTTCAACAAAATTACAGAGAGAATGTCCCTTTGTGTTTGCTTCACTGTGATTACTTGGTTTTCGTATTATGCTAGCATAAGTTCACAGTTAGAAGTGAAATGTTTGGCATGACATTCACAGGTAGTTTGGGAAGATTTGTCTCTGTCAGTAAGACAAAAACAATCACTATATGAATGAAGTCAATATAAAATTTAAGGTAACTTGTTCTCTGAATATATAGAAGAAGAGGGAAATGATGGGAATATTTTCAGAAGCTGTTGTTGAGGAAATATGGTATATAAAGTGAGTGGAAAAACTTACTTTCATTAAGTTCATACTCGGGCAGTTTGCTACAACTATTAGATGCCCTACTGTAAACTCGAGAGATCAAACAAAGCAAGAAGGGTTTTAACTTCTCAACTGAGTAGTTTTGTTTCTTATATTTCACTGGAAATAGTCACTGTATTTTTCTTTTCTCTTATTCTTTTTATGACTGAAATTGATTAAGATAAAGTTCAGGGCTTATTTGTCTCAAAGTTTTCGTATGTTTTTAAGTGCTATGAAAAAATTTTATTTTTAAAAATGACATGTATATCATCTTATGTAGAGGATCAAATTATATATTCATTTCACAAGACAGTTCTGAAGTCATTTTCCTTAGGTTAATTATAAAGCCATTAAAAAAACTGATTGATAAAACTCTTTTGAAAAATCAGTAGATTTTTGACAATAGATTTTTTCCCTGCATTGGTAGTATATCTGTCAGTGAGCTGATTGTTTTATATGTTGAATGTTTTATTCATCAGTGAGATGAGTATCATGACCAACTGAAGTAGTTTTTAAAGACAGTTGCAACTTCAGTTTATAACATCAAATTATTTTAAATTTTAATATGAAATCTTAAATAATTTAATTGTAATAAATTTAGTGTTTTGTTTTTAATTAGTAATTATATAAAATGTTCTTCAAGAGCTATTAATCTTTAGAATAAATTCTATTATATGTATATTGTTGAAGAAAAGATAAATCAAATTTGTTATTACTGACCAACTGTTTAAAGATTTAATTTGGGAGCTGATGTATTAAAACATATGTAAACGAGCATTAGTGCAGGATTGAAGTTAGGTTTTTTTTAAATATCTGTACTCTTAACCTAATCTAGAATTTACAATGAAAATGTGTAATGTATTGATATGAGGTAGCCAGGTATTAAAGAAGAACTTGTGGTAATATCAAATAAATTGAATAAAATTTTAAATAAAATACCTAAATTGTGGTCCAGTATCTTACAAAGAAAAAATTTAAGTATACCATATGATTGATGAAAACGAATCGTGTGGCATAAATCGCTACTCTGAAACTGCAATGACCCAATCTCTCTGTGTATAGCTAGAGAGGGTATATTTAACAAATATCTGTGTAGCTAGTTAAATTGCTGGAAGTGTTTGCTATTATTTTGTGTACATTTAAAATATCGTTCGACTTCAGAGTTTCATATCTTCTCGCACAGTTCTAGGCTGTTAAAAATATTTTAATTTCTTCAAATATTCTATCCTGCTGATTTAGTAATGAATATTCTGTCTATAAGAATTCCTTATACAGTAGGTGTGCTTTAATGTGATCACATTTCTGCTTAGCTATTTTGATAACATTTAATGATGAGAAGAAATATGATCCAAAATGGCAATGGAATTTAACCAATTTAATGCTAGAAATATAAATATGTAGATAGAAAATATAAATAGGCACTTTCACAACATTTTAACTAAGGAAGTGTGAAAGTTTGTTTATGAATGTTTTGTAATGTTTCTAGAAATTATTTGACTAATGATGTACTTCTAACCTTAATACTCAGAAGATATCTCACCTTGGAAGAAAACTCACCAGTGTAAAATTTAAAATTAGGCAAAAACAACCTCAGTGTGGCAAAAATGTTTTCAGGGAATTTTTTTGCTCCTGAAAAACCTCTGTCCGATCCTCTTAGAAACATTATTGAAAATTGAAAATTATTTTCAATAACTAAATCTGACTAAAATCTTGACTAAATCAAAACCAAGATATTTGACTAAAATCAAAACCAAGATAGTTGATCACTTAACCCCTTACTTGGAGATATTTCTCTGTAATTAATGCTTTTTTTATAACTTATTTGTAAACTGTATCCTTTACATGACGGTATTTATTTCAGTTCATAGTATATATTTCAGTTTCATATATTATAGACAGTATTTATTCCAGTTTAAGAAAGTTATTCTATATTATTTTGATCAAATTGATTGAATTTTTTAGCACAGTAAGCAATGTATGTTCATGGTTTCATATACAAAAGGACAGCACTTTGGCAATTCAATAACAATATCCCAATGATAATTGCAGTCATGTAAAACACCATCTACTGTTTTACAAAATTGTTTGATGTAATGTTTAATAACCATTTAGTAGTATTGTGATTATCTTTCCTTCAGTGAAATGATTGATAAGATCATCTCGCTGTGGTTAATCCATGGTGAGTTGTTCCAAATGCCTGAAGCACTAACTTATTTGGAAACACTGTGTTGTTTCCAAATAAGTTAGTGCTTCAGGCATTTGGAAATAGGATCATTATCTAAGATCAGTAACATATCCTGTAATTGTGTATCCTTAATGTAACACATTACAGGATTAATCTTGTATGTATCCTTCATGTAACATATCCTGTAATTGTGAGTGTTAACAATACAGACTGCAGCAGCATTGCTTAATCTGGGGCCAAAGAGAACAAGTACTCCTTGAAAACTGCCCTTGTGGTCCTTCTAGATTTTAAAAGAGAGATAAGAGATTCTAGACTTAAAGAGAGATAAGAGATTCTAGACTTTTAAAGAGAGATAAGAGATTTTTTAAAGAGTGAGAAAAAAAATAAAATTCAAATTAACTACCTGTACCAGCAGTTATCAAACTTTTCAAGTGGAGACCACTTTTATCAATGAGATTGTTCTTCTGACCACCTTACACTTGTCCTCTTTGAAAACATTTTTTGTAGCATATGCCACTACTAGTATTTTTTAATTTTTAAAATACAATTAATTAAAATTCATTTGATTTTATTTATTTAAGTTAATGGAAGGAAAGCTATGTTTTATTTTTAAAAGTTGAAAACTAACAGAGTTTGGATAATATTCATCTCATTAATTAAAAAAATGTTTGAAATGAGATGAAGCCTTGCACAGCTGTTTTATATTTGAATGTTCCTAGTAAGCTTAAATCTAAGATGGGTACATTCATCAGGCCAGTTTCAGCCCTCCCCCCCCTTTTTTTTTTTTTTTTTTTTTTTTTGATTTAGCAATGAAAACACTTCTTTACACTGAAGCAAACTGAATTATAATTTTTAAAGCACAGCTCACCATTTTCTGTTTTCAGTTTGTAATGAGGTCCAGAAATTAACCATACATTCATTTTGGAATTTCATTTAAATCTGGTGTCATTTGAGAATTAAATTAACTTTCTCTTTCATTCAATGACAGTTTGTTATTTTCAATGACAGTTAGTTATTAGTCATGGTGGAAAGGATCAAGAACCCATGAAAATTCATTATATTTACCACTAGGAAAGTTACGTTTCAAACTGTGACCTCAGAGTTTTGAAATGCGAACCTATGTTATTGCATAATTCTTTTCCAACAGTGATATAATTTTCTACTAAACTATTCTAAGATTGAAATGATGAAATATTTCGCTGTTTTATACAGCTAATTCACAAATTAAATTTCTTCTCAAATCCAGGACGCCTATTCTATGATCACTGGATCTGTCTACAACTTGAGTGAACAATATTGACTTAAAAAAAAAAAAAACTATATGGGCAACCATCACAACTTATCGGAGAAAGCCATTCTGTGGCCCTCAGTTGGTGGGTGGGTGGGTCCATTTGACTTTACTAAAAGGGGACAAGGAGCTTTAGACCATTTGCAGTACAGACGAGTAAATAAATTTATAGCGCGTGCTGGCTGAAGTTCTAGGAATATTCTCCCATTATTTTCACTAACTCGCACGCTACATTTGTAGTTCGAAAAAATGGCACTAAACAGTATTATGATCAACATGCAGCAGAATATGCTGCTGTGTTATATGAAGGAAAATCCCGTTTTTTAAGGGGAAAGTTAACGTAGGAATTTAGGGCTAAGAAATAAAGAGTGATGTGGGAAACCGTGAAAGCAATGGTAAATAGATAAGAGTAAATGAATTAAGCTTACTTCAAATCTTTTTAGAAATAAACAATTTTAATCATTTAAATTAATTTGCATTACAATCTGATAGCAAACTAAGTTGTGTGGGGTTTTTTATATATATATGCTTACATTTAAGCTGTTTTCACGCAATTTATTTTACAGTTAATATTAGAAAAATATTTCTTTAAGTAAGAAATTAGAAAGAAAATATTTCTTTTTTAATATTTCTTTCCTCTTTTTACTTTCTTTTCCTATGAAAATTATTTCTTTCGGGAAAAGAAATAAAATTCATTCGCTATTACAGTATGGCAGATTGCTGCTGCATTCAGCTATCACACGCATCAAAATGTTTTATTTTAAATAATTTATTCTATAATTAACATAAAAGAAAATATTTTTTCAATATAAAATATATAACCAAAATTATACTAATTTGTCCTGTATCTGTGATTAATTCATATTGCAATTTTTGTCACACAATTACTAATACTTTTTTTTAATATTACATTGCTGTTATTTTAATTTCTTATATATATAAGAACTGCTTATTTTCAATATTCTTCCCTTTCAAAAGATTTTATTCTGTGAAAATAATTAAAAGATAGTAATATTATTTTCACAATGCAAGTACTAAAAAATAATCATTGTAGGTCTCCTGCAGTTGAAGTGCTTGTCAAACCAGCGTTTCAACATATTAAATAGAAAACTAATAATAATCAATATCTCTTTTACAATATAAAAATAGGAACAATGCTATGAAAAGTTTTTGTTTTTTTGTTGGCAAAGAAACAATGATTTTTTAATACTAATAGATTACAAAAGTACTATTCCATGAACAAACCCTCAGTCTTTTATGAGGGTTTGTTCATGGTAATATAGTATAGTTATTGTTACTTTTACAGAATACAATAATAATGCAGTATAATTCTGCTAATGAGCCCACCAGCGGCTGCGTGGTAGAGTCATTGAACGCAGGTAGTTTGGTCCAAGGTTCGAATCCCATGAACGAGCTGGCCACATCGGCGTTTTCATGGCTTTCCCCATATGTAAGGTGTATACAAGCCAGTTTCCCTTAGAAACCATTTTCAAAACGTAATAAACTTACACACACTCACACACACACACACACACACACACACACAAAAAAAAAAAAAAAAAAAAAGAATCTGAAAGGCTTCAGATTTTATGTTACTCCCAAAGGGTCATTTTTTTAACGTTTTGCATGTTACTTTTATTTATTAAATATCATGTTCTTCGCACTTAAAACATAAAATTCAATTCAACAGCAGTATCATATAATTTAAAAAGAGCATATCTTTAGAATTTCCGATACATAGTCTTGCGTGCTGGGGATGAAAATGGTTTTTTTTCCTCTTTATTATTATTATTATTATTATTTTCTGTACAATATTGCCATTGCTCGCTTTGAAATCGTTGAATTTCTTAATCAAACACTCATAAATGCGCTTTACAAAATATGAAATAGATAAATAAAACAATTTCCAGTTTTAAATTTGGGCCTCCAGATGCCTATATTAGAATGGAGGATTATGTTATTCAAAATTTCATGGCTCTAGGTACCGTTGTTTTATCATAGTGCGAGAAATATTCATACATTTATGCAGATTCCTCATTATTTAATTTCTTTAAATGTAAAACAGTGTGATAATATTTGGTGGCAACGATTTGAAAAGTGAAACGCCACAAAATGGCAAAACGAAATTAATAGCCCTTCTGGGCTAAAACTTATTTTTAAAAGTATCACACTAGTAGTACTGCTACTGAAAAAATATTAAGCTATTTTACAGTTTTATAATTTAAAAAAAAAATTTTATTTTACAGTAGTGTGAATTTCGCGTAATAATGAATGACATTCCTTTTTGTGTACAGTATTGTTCGTAATGTATTCAACTTTTAGATTGTAAAATATACGTAATTCTTGCTGTACATAAATCGAGTAGAAGCTTATTCGATGTCTATATTTGTATTAAAGGAAGAAGGTTTATGTGTTAATAAACTTATTATCTTCTACATTTTTAAAGCATATAATTACAATTTATAGCTATAATTTCAAGAATAGCATAAATAACCTTTCTTTCAGTAGTAATTGCGTTCTTGTTTTCTGAATGTGGCTCCAAATACACTCTCAGTTCATCGCAAATTAAAATAATTATAAATTTTGGCAATCTGAAATATGCAATGAAAACATCTTCTGGCAGAGCAAAAGCATCAACATATTTTCTATAAATTTGCCACCGATTCAGAGATCTACGATCGTATTCTTCGTTTAAATATGAGAAAAATCAGCACCAAAAACACATGCAAAGCCATTGTCAACTCAGTACGTCAACTGCACAACCCTGATTGATGACGCCGGAACACTTTTTTGCGCACTTTCGACAACTTCTGTACTCAGAGAATATAGGATGTCGGGCAGACCTGCTTTTCAATAGCAGCGACATCTGGCGGCCCACAACTTGCTGTCAACTCTTGTAGCATAGAATAACCGTCCAGGGCTTAATTTCTAAGATTAGAAGTGCCGCAGCCCTATGGAAGACCATCAGTAAAGAGGAACAAGAGTAAATAAATAAATAAAATGACTATTAAACACATTAATAATTTTTAAATTAAATAGTAAATTATTATCAAATTAATTTGTAGCTATTTAATTAATGTTTATAAATTGTTATTTAATCAATAATTATTATATAATTATAATTCATTTGATAATTATTAGATAATTATCTATTGAAAAAATTAAAGATTGAGGTAATTAAATAATTAAAATTAAATAAAATGTAAAGAGATAAATTGAAATTTAATATGCAATTTTAATATAATTTTATTGTTGAAATAAAATTTTCGAGATAAAATTTCTACTGAAATTGTCATTCAGTTACATAAAAGAAGTGCCGCAGCCTTCTTATTCATCGCTCCATTGCGTTCTGGCTAGAATTATGATTTATTACAAAAACTAAGAAGCGCTGGTGGGCTCCAGCTCAATTTAAGCTCTGATCGTGTGGGGTGGAGTTCTTTTATCATCACAAAAATTAAATATACTTAAAGTATAGCTGATGAAAATTCCAGGGCGAAACAGAATGAGGGTATGAGTGGGTGGAAACAAAAAATGAGGGGAATTTTGGTGAGAGAGACCGTTCTCTTTGACTGCGGCTCTCTGCTGATATAATTGTAAGCATCAAGCAGATGTGTGTCATGGGTAGAATGAGTCCTGAATCTGACTCCTATAAGGATGAAAGCAAAGTTGCTGGTTACACTTCCCCTTCCCAATTAGTGCATACTGTGGGAAGACGATGTATAGGACGTGCTTGAGCAGTTTATCTCAGTATTTCACTCTTATTGTATTCGCTGTCACTTAACGCACATTTAAGAACACAAATTTTCCTTCCTGCGAGAATAACTAACTGTAAGCATCGATAACAATACACTAGATACGAATGGCATGGCAAGAAATTTAAGCGTTCCGAAACAAACTCCCCCAAATTTATTGCTTTTCTTAAAGGGAAAGGTTTCCACATGTAAGTTAGGGGTGAAGAGACTTTACTTGAATGTCTCATGTTCTCATGAGTTCATATTTCTAGGGAAATAAAGTATTGCAGGGTCTGCTTGTGTTAAACTAAAATGTTAGGAATTCTAAATTTTTTTCTCTTTAAATAGGGGTTCAGTTTTATGAAAAGAATTACTGGAGCTCATCTTATTTAGGGCTCCGGTACGCTCTGGCTAAAATTGTAAATTATCTTAAAAATTAAGAAGCACTGCTGAAATCGCATTAATTTCTCGTGGCCGTTGCGAATTGTATAAAACCTTGTAGACAGAGATTTCGTTCATTTAATTTTTTAAATAAATCTGAAAGATATTCTAATATACTTATTCACATGTCATCAGCCAGAAATTATGTAAAATCTTCTTGATTTCATGTACAAATAACAAAAATTTTTGCAAATCTAAGAGAACCACAAAGGTAGTATCCAAGGACCTCTTCTGGTCCATGAATCACAGTTTGAAAAATGCTGATTTAATCATACAATAGCTGAATATCTCAGATTTTGAAAGTTACACATAGTAATCATTTGCGATTTTTTCTGTTTATGAAATTTATTATCCCTTACCTTACCAGTAGATTTCCCTTCCATTTCTATCCTTTATTTAAAACTTTCTTTCCTAAACAATTAACTGTAACTGGAAGCATGGAAAGTTTATTTTGGGATGTATTAAAAATAAATTATTATTCAATGAGATTATATACGATTTTTTTATACTTTGCCATAATTTGCACATTTTGTAATGTTTCCTTTAACTGAAATTAATCTTCTTTGGCATTTTAAATTTCAGTATTTAAACTTATAAATCTTTACAGATATGCAAAGTAGCTGTCGCAACTTTAACATATGATCAAATGGTTGATCTTCTTAAAACTTCAATGACTGTTTCTGTGACAGTTATACCTCCTCTTCCTAATGGATCATCGCGGAAGTAAGCTAAATTTCAACATTCATTTCATCTCCTCTCCAAGCAATGTTTACTTTAACTGTAATTCATTTTTTTTATATGTGCTTTTAGGGGTTGTAACCTACAGAATTGTAGCTACTTATCTGGCGGTGGAATTGGTGATTATGAAAACATTGGCATATGTGATCATGGTGACAGTCATCATAAAACGGCCACACCTCGACAACAAGCTGCTTTTCATTCACAACGAATGAATTCTAGGTAATTATAAAGAGTTCTTTTAACAGGTAAATTCTAGATAATGAGACTGTATAAAGAATTCCTTTTCCAGCAATGATGTGCATAATATCTTATTAACATGTACTGAATTTCTGTTTGAGAATATTGCTATGAAATTTTATACATTTTAAGAAAATATAAATTGTTAAAGAAATTGTATGAAGTAAAAGGTTTTGAAAATTTAATATCAAGTTCTTCCTTTTTTTAATTTGTAATTTATGTTATGTTGTTTAGGAGAGAAGCTCATTCTAATTCCCAGCACCCTAACAGAAGTCCATCAATGGATCGAATACTTCCAAAATCAGATGTATGTTTGATTTTAAGTATTATTTTTATGTTATGACTTGTTCATGCTTTTTAGTCTGAGTTGGAATTCATTCTAATAGTGTCTGTAATAGAATTTGTTTTAACGCTTTTCAGGTTAAATTCAAAATAGTTGCAGAGAAACTTCTGTTATATAGGAAACTTTATTTTCTCATCTTATTTCTGTGACATATCCACAGAAGTCCTTACCTGGCCTTCATTTTTGCAGTTGTTAGTCATAAACACGTACTTTGATTACAAAAATGTTTTAAAGCATTGGTTTGAGTGGCCATTTCATTTGTGTATTTTTTGCTAATATCATGTTGAAAAGATTTCAAGATTTTAGTTATTTGAAGTCTTGAATTTCTGATTTTTATTTCCATTAAAAATGAACAGGAATAATAAACCAGAAAATCTATAAACTCAGACTTCATTAGCTAATTAATTAACAGTGTGATATAAATCTTGTTAAAAAATTTGAAGATGCATGTTTTATTAACTTTTATTCCTGCTTGTCATAAATAAGCTCAGTTAGAAATTTGGGAATAAAAATAATTGCTTTGCTTGGGAAAATATTTATATGCAAACAGTGGTTTTTCACAGTTGAAAATTAATATGACAGGAACTCGATTGACTAATAAACATCTGCAATCCTTGATGAAGATAATTTCCAGTAATTTTTCTGCAAGGCTACAAACTTTATCGGAATCGAAACAGCATTCAGTGTCAATCTGTAGTAAGAAGTAAAGAAATTTATAATTGTTTATGTACAATTGGGTGTATATGTATACATTGAAGAAAAATTTAATAAATAAGAGTGTTACTATTTATCTCAAGTTTTGTCCTGCTTGACAAATTTTCGCTGAAAGCTCTGAAAGTTTTCGTAATTTGTGTATTTTTAGTTTAAATTAATGTGAGTTATTTAATGATTAATTAAATGTGTTAGATTATTTGAAAGAAATGTCAAAATATAAGTGTGAGAAGTTAATATTTAGCTGTTAGTATGTTTGAATTGCAGAGTGTAACAAATGAAAATCATTTTGCAGGTACCAAACTTCACAAATATCAGACTGCAAATAAATATGAATTTGTATTTTTTTTCCTTTGTGATATTATTATTGTTTGTGTATGTTTGTTCAGTATTTAATAAGCAAAACTTGAAATTTATTTAAAAGATTTTTATTTTGTTGATAAATTTTTTTATTCTGTTAATAAAAAAATCTGGTTCTTAGCTGTTTAGTTTCTGTTTTCATATTTATTGCTCTAAAATGAGAGCTTCTAATTCTTTGCTTTGATGCTTGCAGTGGAATCTAAATTTATCTATATAATACATGATTATAATCTGTAATATATGTTTGTAAAAATTTAGTTAGTAAAAAAAGAAAGAAAGAAAATGAATGTATGTAATATTTCAAAGTATTCAAATTTATGCTTATTTAAAAAATTAGAAGTCTATAATTTGCATCCATTCCTAAGATATTTATATTTAGTCATCATATCCTAAAATTAATTAACAAAATTACATTCTGTGAATTATTTTTCTTTTCCTTAACATTTAAAAGAATAAGGGTCAACATAATAATTAAGGTATACATTCAGGCCCAGATTTAGACCTGGTAAAGCATTAAGCTATTAGAAGTATTGGGTCGTTTATAAGTCCAGATATTAATGTCAGTGCCAAATATGATTTTTGGATAACTAGAGGTTTTTTTGTGAGCTATAGCTTGTGTAGCCTTATGTGTAAATATACATTAGGTTTTTAGCCCAGAAGGGCTATTCATTTCGTTCTGGCATTTTGTGGCATTTCATTTTTTTCAAATTGTTGCCACCAAATATTATCACCCTGTATTATATATAAAAAAATTAGATAATAAAGAATCTGCATAAATATATATTTCTCGCATTGTGATAAAACAACGGTACCTAGAGCCATCAAATTTTGAATGAGGTAAGTCTCTACCTGAATATGGGCATCTAGAAGCCCAAATTTGGAATTTTTTTTACTATTTCTTATTTTGTAAAGCATTTATGAGTTTTTGATTAAGAAACTCAACAATTACAAAGCGAGTAATGGCAACACTGTACAGGTGAATTTATCTCCCAACAAGTGAAACTGTGTATCGGAAATTCTAAAGGTATGCTCTTTTTAAATTATTTTGTGATATTGCTGTTGAATTGAATCTTATGGTTTATGTGTGAAGACCAGGTTATTTAATAAATAAAGGTTAACACACAATTTTTTTTTTTTTAAAGGCCCATTTGGGCGTAATATAAAATCTGAAAACTTTTAGATTTATTTTTTTTAATTTCATTGTTTTACATAATTTAATGAATCTAATAAATCTAATAAATTTAATGAATAATGAGTTATTCATTAAATTTATTAGATTTACTATGTTTTGAGGAAATTCAGCATTCTTGGTAAAAAATTTTAATATTTCAGATATGAAACAAATAGTTGTACAGTTGAGGAAACATTCCAGTTTAACTATTATGGTTAGCCTGGGTTTTTTAACAAAAATACACAAAAAGTTTGAAAGATATGTGTAATTTAATATTATGTGTACTTTTAGTAGTAATGTTCTCTTTAAAGAATGTCTTGTTCAAGAAGTGCTTGGATTCTGTTTCGCTGTATACTGTTCTATGTTGTCTTTTTAGAATACATAGTTGAACTGGTGTTGCTGTCTTATTTCATATCAGATTTACATTTCTTTTATACAGGTGCGAAACATTTTTTCTGAAACACGGAGGGACCACATACAGCATCATTCCATTCTCTCTTTGAGAAATATTCAAGAATCTTCTCAAGGATTACTTCCATCTCGAATAACTGCTTACGGAGGTGTAGGTAGCTTGACTTCTGTTGATAAAGAAAGTAGTCCCAAAACTGGAACTGCATTTCCTACCTCTCGATCATCTCCTGTCTGTGCATCTTCAAGTTCTCATGATCATGGTTTGCCTACATATGGAAATATACAAAGTCAACTCCATCGTAGCTTCCATGATAGAAATCGCAATGGCATATCTCAGCGCCTTATGCACATCGGGGGCATGGTGTCTGCTCGAAGTGAATTATCTTTGGCAGAAATAACCCCATTCCATGCTAGATCCCATTCTCATCATATGGTCCTCTGTCCACATTCTTCCAAAAGTCAGTCACCATCTGAAAATTCAGTAGTTCATCCACGATCTCATACTACATCCCCCCATTCTCCTTCATCTAAGCAAGGAACTCCATTTGCCAAAAGATCTCCTTCAAGTGTTAACTCTGACTATCATTCTGACAGTTCCAGTGATTGGCATCAAGGAACAAGTAGTGCAGGTGAATATCATATTATTATTTTTTTAATTAATTGTTATGCGGAAGTTTCCAATTGTATACTAGAAACTAGACTGTATTTTGTGCGGATTCCAGCAAAAGTGAATCATATATATATATATATATATCAAGGATGGAGCTGAACTTCATGTCAATAAGAACTGCATTTTAGAATTTAAGAAAATTCGAAAGCTGCAACTAGATTTTCCAAAGCCACAAGTCATATTTGCATCATATTCAAAGTAGTGAAACAAGTTTCAAATAGGAAGAATTATCTGATTCTAAACAATCGTTGAATGACTGTTTGCCTTCAGTATATGATCCATGTATGATGTTTCGGAAGACAGTGTCTTTTGATGTGGTAAAAGTAACTCTTTTTCATTTTTTAAATACTCCAATTCTTCTGTGATGCCTTCATGTAAATGTTAATCTATCTCAGTTTTGTAATGCTTATGAAATTTTGGTTTCTTTTAAAATCTGCACCACAGTGGCTCAAATCATTTCACTGCTACCTAAAAAATTTCCCCATCATGCTCATTGAAGATTTTCTTTAAAGAATTTTTTTGATAGAATCATTATAATATTTTTTCTTTTATTATTATGTTTTTAATACCATTGTTAAATTTCTTAACTAACAAGAAATGAAATAAAATAATTTTGTTTGAATATTGGTCAGTTTAAGTTTACTTTGTTAAAACATGAAATAAATTACTTTCTTTTGGACATTGAGCAGTTTTAGTTTACCATGCTTCATACATATATTGTATTTACGTGAGAGCCACAGTTCAGCCACCTCTGATTATTATATATGTAAGTATTTATTGTGTAAAAGGTGGTTTCTGATAGTTTTTTAAAATGACATGTTTGGCCTAATATACATCTTGTTTTGATAGATTTAGATATCTTCTTTCTCATTGTATTATTATATTTATTTTTGTACTTTCTGATTATCAGCTGTCTCACAGAAAAACAGCAGTTCTCAATTTTGTGAATAGGGGTATAAAAACAAATTGGCCCTCTTAATGACTGTGTGGACATTTCATAAATAACAATAAAATATTATGAAAGAAATGAAAATTTTTACTAGGTAGCGAGGGCAAAAACAGAAAAAAAAAAAAAATTTGTGACATGTATTAACATTTTTGTGGCAGGTTGATACTATTCAGTGAAATGATGGCTAAATGTAATGCGTATAAATGCATTTGTGCTCAAACATGTGTGGTACCCATATGCATGGGTTGACTATTATACTGTATGCCAAAATATATCAGTTTGATCAAATATTAAAACTAGGGTTTCAGATAACTAAAAAGTAATCTAACTTTAATATATATCATATTTACTAGCATGTTTTTTACCCCTGAGTTTTTCAGCATATGATCAAAAAGTTCTTATCGAATACATCGCTTTTGTTAGGCACGTAGCCGTCGTGGCTTTACCATATTCAGATGTAACCTAACCTAACCTTTTTAGCATATGATTTAAAATTTCTGATTTTGGTTAATGTTATAAAATGGTTAACATTTTGTGTAATTAAAAGGAATATTTTTGAAATTGGAAACTCCTCTAAAATGCATAATGTAGTTATATTAGTGTGTAATCATATTTCTTTTGAATGTGCTTTCTTTATCATTTAAGACCATGTGCCACACTGATTTAAGTCGGTACTGAAAAGTTGTACCACAAAGCCATTTTTTCAGAGATAATGTACATTGCATATTTTTCCCCTATCCCAGGTTTCAGGGGGTAAAATTAATAAGGAAATGGGATTTCCAAAGATTAGTATCCTGGGCTGAGTTACAAAATAAATTTTCTGTAACTTAAATGAATTAGTTATTAATGCAAATTGTATTTTATTGCACATAGTAGTTTATATTAAAATTAGTTGATGAAGGGAAATTTGGTAATTCTTGGAGTAAACTGCACAAGTTTTGTGTATATTAAAATGGTTTTCTACTGGTAAAGTTGATTTAATAACACTAAAAATCAAATGCAAAGTTTATTTTCTAAATAAAACTAGTAACTGTGTCGTTTTGACAAAATTGAAGGTAAACATTTTGTAATTATGTTGTAAATAAAAGTATAAATGTATGTATTTTCTTTCTATGTGTCCTAATATAAGAAAGAATACATTTTTAAACAACATTTCATTCTGCACAGAATTAAATGCTATACTTTTCCCAAAACAACTTTAATTTGAATGAAATGGTTTTGCAAGTTTTCACTAATTACATTAGAAAAAAATTTTAAGGCAATTTGACTTTATCAGTCAACTATTACAAAAATTAAAATCAAAGTTTATTGTGTTATTAATATTAAAATCATGTATTATTTCATTTTTTATTTACAGAGCTTCTTCCTGAAATACTTTCTCAAATATGAAATGATTATCAGCTTCTGAGGCATCTTTTAAATCAAAAATCATAGTCACTGTCTAATTAATGCTCTATTTTGTTTCATTTCAAATTAGAGCATCTTTTATTTTAATAGTGAATTACTGAAATACATTAAATATTGCTGCTGATTTCTTATTTTCTATGCACTTAACTTTCTAAGAGTATTTCTGAAGAGAATAAAGAAAAGGTGTTCTTGTTAATATTATTTATTACTTGTAATTGAATTATAATAAAATGTAAGAAAATAATTCTTTTAATACTTAATCAAAAAAAATCCCTTGATTTCAACTGTGCACATTTTTTCAATAACATTCACAGGAGTTTAATGAATGAATCTTTCATTTTGAAATACATTTATGAATGATATAATAAATATTTATATGTTTATTTAAAATGCATGCATTTTTACAAGGATATGCATAAATTCTCATATCTATTTTATTTTCAGCAAGTGCAAATCTTTAATTTCTGCGCATTCACTATATTTCTTGACAAAATTTACAGTAACTTGGCATGTACAGTACAAAGTCTTTAATCCGGACGTCCATAATCCGGACCTTAAAGCTACAAACATTCTGAGCATGCGCATAATACCTTTACGCATGCGCATAATACGTTTATGCATTCGTGTTTAATGTATAACAGATGGTATAAGCTAAGCTAAAATTATCTAATTATCTATTTCATTTAATGTTGCAGATTGCGTTGTTCCGTAATTTTCTAATTGGATCCGGCTTATTATTTTTTTGCAGGCTGTTAGAGCAATTATATAAAAAGTAAGCTTGAACTTTCGATTATGTCAAAAAGAGTTTCCAATTCTAGAGCTGCCAAAGGATCTACAAAGCGAAAGCATGTTTTGATGTACTGCTTCCGATAGTGAAGAAAGTGACAGAGAGGTTATTGAAAACGAAAAAATTTCGATTGACAACTTAGTCGGTATTTTCCACACAGCAATTACAGGACCTTGAACAGTGGAACTGAACAAGACATTATGTCTGTATATAGAATTAAAGAGAAAGTATTAGCACAAAAAACGAAGCAACTTAAACAACTTACATTAAAAGAAATTTTTAATAAAGTAAACAAATAAATATGATTTTGATACCCTTTAGATCATAATTGCTCTTTATTTCATAAATTACGGTTTCATATTTTGAATTTTATAATTTCTGCATGCAATCTTACTAGATTTAAATTGATGTTATATAATCTGGAAAAACCCCTAATCCGGAATCGCCAAAGTCCCGACAAGTCCAGATTAAAGACTTTGTACTGTTTCTGATGTTTTTACATTAAAAGTACATATAAATATAAATTGAATGAAAATTACTTGCATTATTTATATATGCATCTCAAAATCCGCTTTCCTTCAAAAGTTCTCCATAAAGATCTCTCTTTTCTATTCTTACATACTTATTTTAAAAACTTAGCCAGCCTATGTGCTTGATTATGAATATTTTTAACATACACAATTTTATATTTATATTTAGCCATCAAGTTTCAAACATTTGGCTTAAAACATGTTTGGAGATACATTCATCAAAAAATTCAAATTTTCTAGTGAATATATTTTATCAAAGCATTCATTATCTTCCTTAGGAATTTTACCCAATTCCTCTTAGCACCAATCTCTTAACAATTTTACCAGTTTTGGCACTTTTTAATTATAATACTAAGATAAAATATTGTGATGTGCTTGTAAGCCATTCTTTGGCTAATTGAGACCTAGGGAGGTTAGGAATGGAGCTTGAACCTCAAATTTCTGGGAAGAAAAGAGTTGAGTGCAAAACATTTAACAATCTGCAATCAATAAGAGAACCAGTCCCGATAGGACCTCCCATGACAGAATGCACAAAAGGATTTCACCTCCGTGGATCACCCTATTTTCAAATTCTTAATAAGCTGTCATGATGAAGTGGCATGTTCACATGCTCACATCACCTGACCGCACATGGTGTTTTTGCCATATTGGCAGATATTCCTGCATCCTGTGTTGCACAAATACCGGGTGGCCATAATTAAACTGACAGTGCTCACAGTGTTCTGTAGCACGATCTATTTGCGAGAATTACGCCACATTTTGTAGGAAGATTAAACAAGACGGGAGACGAAGGATTCCGAAAAAAATTTAGTTCCAAAATTCACCGCTGGGGGAATATTTGCCACTGTGTAATAGAAAATAGAGTGTTAACAAATGCAAATTAATACGGAATAATTACCTTTTATTATGGATATGCCTTATTCCATGAGGCTTAAATATGGATATGCCTTACAGTACGGTATGGAAAATCTTACGAAAGATTATCAACTTCCATCCGTACAAGATCAGCCATGTACAGGAGTTACTGTACCCCGACCATGATAAACGATTGACTTTTGCTCTCACTTTTCTTGCCAGAATGGAGGTGGATGATCTTATGGGGAGACGAGGCCCACTTTTACCTGAATGGAACTGTGAATACCCAGAACTGCCGAACTTGGGATGACAAATCACAGCAATTCTCTTATATTCACCAAAGGTAACTGTTTGGTGTGGGTTCACAGCGGAATTTATCGTAGGTCCATTCTTCTATGAGAACATTACCCCGACAGGACCGAAAACCTGTTCTGTTACCGGAGAGAAATATCGCCACATGTTGAACAGCTTTGTTGTTTTGGCACTTCAGCAAAGACAATGCCTGGGGGAAATCATTTTCATGCAAGATGGAGCCCCTCCACACGTTGCTGTATGGGTGCAATAGATGCTACAACAGAAATTCCCAACAGAAAGAGTCATTAGCTGCTACTTTCCAACTGCATGGCCACCTCGGTCGCCTGATTTTACCCCATGCGACTTCTGGCTATGGGGTTATCTTAAGTCCAAGGTCTATCAAGGAGTGGTCCAGGACCTGGCTACGTTGAAGGATAACATATCACGGACTGTACGGGAGATTCCTGTATACATGTTACTTTCTGCTGTTGTGCATACTGTGCACAGAATGCAATATGTGTTCCACAACAACGGCAGCCACATTGAACCTCATTTGAATGCAAAATAAAAGGTAATTTCCGTATTGATTTGCATTTGTTAACACTCTATTTTCTATTACACAGCACCAAATATTCCCCTAGCGGTGACTTTTGGAACTAATTTTTTTTTTTTTTTTTCGAGGAATCCTTCGTTTCCCATCTTGTTTAATCTTTCTACAAAATGTGGCGGCATTCTCACAAATAGATCGCACTACAGAACACTGTGAGCACTGTCAGTTTAATTATAGCCACCCGTTATATGGTTACAAATGAAGGAAAAGTTTACTTATTAGCCTATAGGTCTGTATGTATTAATTTTAACAGGGATTGCAGGATTTCAAGGTAATTTCATTTTAAAGATATATAAACCCAAAGTGATTATTTTTCAATTATATAAAAATAAAATGGTAAGTTTAAAATGAGCAACTATGCCTATTCCTTAAAATTTTTTTAAAAAGTCCATATTACAATGTTATGTGGATGACAAAAAATTTATTTTATTTGAAACATTTTGATAGTTAGACATAAAAGCGGATGCACTATTAAGGGCATCGAAAGAAGTATACGGATTTTCACACTTAAACCAGCTAGTTATAAAGAAATTGAGCTTTAAAGTGTGTGATATTTTAGCTATATTTTGACATTTTAAAAGTAAAGGTATTCATCATTCTTTATGCATAACATAAACATTTTGCTAAAATCTTTATTTTTATAGTCCAGTAGATTAGATAAACAAATTCATAATTAAAATTGCTATTACAAGTTATTGAAAGGTTTCTTTTATGAGGAAGTGTACCCGCTTTTTGATTTTGTATGGAACTGTCATATGTGGAAGTACCATCTTGGCTACTGCTGTTAACTTGCTCTGGAGGTAAACAAAACACGCATCATTTGGCTACCAAAGCTTGGCAACACTGTGCCATTTGTAGTAGGAGGAGAGCATGGTCCTTTTTTCTTAACTACATGGTGTAGCAGTTTTTCATTGTAAAATACTCATTATGCTTACAACTTTCTATATTCCATCAACAGAAAAAGAAATTTAACTTGATATTCGAGGCATTACTATCAGCAATTACTGATCTTTGACCGTCAGAGAGTCTGTAAAAAATTAATAATGTGTTTATATATGTGTGTGTGTGTTAAAAATATCAATCAGTTGTATGAAATAAGTTAGTATATAGAAATTTTCAGCATATTTATGTGAGTTGTTACTTAAACTACTTACTTAAATGTTCTAAATGTAATAGTTAATATCTATTATATTAAATAAGTTCTGTTGAATTATATTGTTATTTTAAATAAATTGGGGACAAAATGATATTACCTTGTGTTGTATATGTATTGAATGAATTGCCAAATTATCATTTACCATAGTCAGTTTCACTTCCGTGGATGTATGTAACATTTGGCAACAAATTGTGCTTTCTAAAGCCCGAAATGTGCCAGTTCCAGTTTCTCACCAAGGAAAATAAGTACCAGTTGTTTCATGGTCAGGAATATCCAGCTGACAGCTGAAAAATTAACATATTCACACATCATTATATCAGAGCAGGAGCAATTAAATTATTAGCATAAGGAGTATAGTCTACATATGAAGCATATTTCACTTTGACATTATTGTGTTTTTCATTATGATTCAGAAAAAAATTTGTATTCAGTGTATTCTAATATAATTACATTTTGTAGATGAATTATGCGAGTCAAGGGTAAGCTGTAGCCCACACAGGCACATTCAAGATTCCAAGGTTAATGCAATAAACCAGCAACCCAGGTATTATATAATGTTGTTTATTTATGTAGCATAATATGTAAAATTTTTTGTGGCATTAATTTATAATGTTATTTATTTGTGTAACATAATATGTAAAATTTTTTGTGGCTGTACAATTAAGATAATTCACAGATCTCGGAAGTGAGGGTTGTATGGGAAGACATTTTTATTTAAGAGCATAATTCGATCTTTTAACTAATTTAGGATTTAAATTGATTTTCTGTAAAAATTTGTTTTGATTAAAATTTGAATATTTTACAAAGCTTTTTATAGAATACCTATCTATAAAGGCTTTATAAAATTTCTCTAGAATTCTTCTTTGTGAAAGCTTTATAAAATGGCATTTTATAGAGAAACATTTTTACAAAGCATTGCCTATAAGATTCCATGAGACCTATTAAGTTCTATAAGCCTCTGAAATTTTTTTTGAAAGGGAGTGTTTGCACTACAGAGTAGATCCAAATATCAGTTGTAGATCTTGAAGTGCATTTTAACCTTGAAATATGATATAGAATTTCTATGCCTGGGACATTAGTGTGAAAACTAATGTTATTGTGGTGTAGTGGCCAAAACCGCTATGCAAACCCTGGGTTGTGACATCAGGTTGAAAACAAAACGCAGCATAAAAAATTTATTGAATGCTAAAAATATGGCTACATACAATTCAGAAGAGAAAAAACTTAAATCTAAAATCAAATTCTATACATCAATCGTGGCTCTCAAGCCAGCGTTTTTAACATTGCCAGCAATTTAATATTATTTTAATAACAACTATTTTTTTACAACTTAATATTATTACATATATTGCACTCTGAATTTGCAATTTGAAATCATTCGTCGTAGATTTATGCGACCTTATCACAACTCCTCCCATCATAAAGGAATTTTTCTTGACTATGGAAGGGAAAAATTCTAAATACTTTTCACTGTTTTCAAAACACAAGTGGTAACCATTCAAGTGATAATAGAGAAGCCAGTTACATTACCTTGCACTTATTTCTAGATAACATAACCGCATAAATACAACAAAAATAATTTAAAATACTGCTATTGTCTTCCTCACACAAAGTACCTTTTCAGTTTACAAAATGCTAATACTTAACATAAAACATTTGATTCCAACCATTTTGAAAATGAAACACACGATGCAAACAATTTTGAAGTTAAAATAGTATAATGACAGAACACTACAAAAATCTTTTACGACAACTATCATTTTCCTTGAATCAGTCTGCGTTGAATCAGCCAAAGGATAAGGAATATCAACTTCTCTTTCGATATCCTCCATGACTTCCTCTTTCATCAAATTCACAAACACTGGGAGCTGGTGATAAGGTTCAATCAAATTGAAATGACAATTGGTATCACTGTTACGTTTACCCGGAACCTCTGCCGTATAATTGGTTTCGGAAATCACACTAGTTACTTTACCTGGCTCTATCCAGTTTACAGCCATTTTGTGTGGTTTAGACATGGCTAAAATAAGCACGAGATCTCCGACCTCAAACCTTCTCGTAACAGTGTTGCGATCATACCAGAGTTTCCTTTTACTCTGACACTCTTTCATCCTCTCTACAGCCAGCTCTTGACACTTCTTTAATCTGTTTATTAAGTCTAGAACATACTCGACCACAGTGGGGTCTCAACTTTCTTCCTCTAGCCAGTTTTCATACACAATCGTTTGAGGCATTCTCAAATTTTTTTCATGTACTAACTTGCAGGGACTAACCTGTGCTCTTATGTCTAACAGTTCTGAGGGCAAACATTCTTCCCAGTCCTTCCCGCTTTCCAAGCACAAAGCCTTCAATACCCTTTTCAAGGTGGAATGCAACCTTTCAACAGAATTGCTTTGATGGGTGGCACACAGAAAAATAATACACCTTAATTCCGAACTAGCTATAAAACTCAGATGTAAGTTCACTGGTAAACAATCTACCCAAATCACACTGAATTTCCTTAGGGTAACCTGATCTAGAAAAGATTTGTATTAAGGCTGGAATCACACATTTAGAGTTTAAATTCTGTACAGGAATGGCATCTGGATATTTGGAAGCAACACAAAAAGACGTAATTAAGTATTTATTTTCATGCGAACTAGGGATCAGAGGTCCTACTGCATCAATATTTAATCTGCTAAACACTTCTGATATAACAGGCACAATCTTCATAGGGGCTTTCTTTTTATCTTTATTGGGACCTACACGCTGACAAATACCGCAGGTCCTCACAAATTCTTCAATTTCCTCGTAGCAGTTAGGCCAGAAATAGTGTGTCAAAACTCTATCCTTGGTTTTTGTTACCCGTAAATGACCAGAGATTTCCTCGTGGCATAACTTCAAGATCCCTTTCCTAAAAACGAGAGGCACACACAGCTGATGCTTATCTTCCTCTTTTTTAGAACCTGCCACTCTGAATAGTCTTTCCTTGACTATTATAAACTCTTTTCATTTTCACTTTCCCCTTTCTTCCACAGGTTCGCTAAACTAGCGCAAGTTTTTTGTGCTTCCAAGAATTCTGCTGGCGAAACATCCACAAGGATAGACCTTTCTTCTAAACTGTCTAAACAGATGTCTGCAATTTTAATTGCCTCCTCCGTATTACTGGTTAACTTCCTTTCTTCCGAATGCTCATTATTGACGGCCCTTTCACTTTCTATCTCTTTCTTTTCTTCCGATCTGGAATCTAAGTCTTTTGCACTCGCTCTCTCTAAACTCCTGCGCGCATGCGCCTGACTGCGAGTCTCCACAACATTTAAGAGAACCGGTCATTCCCTAATTTCCTCTATCAACTGTGCAGTTTCATTTCCTAACAAATAGTACTCCTTATCTAACTCTACCGGAGTAACCGCTGCCTTTGTGGTGACCACACCAAAATCATCTTCAATGGTGACTTTCGCCAAAGGTAAACATTTACATTCTGTGTCCAAAGGCTGTTTCACCCATACAGTTTCCCCTAATAAGTCACTAGTATTAATCCAAGTGCTATTACACAGATCTATACCAGCTCCAGTATCTCTCAGATATTCTCTCTCTATCCCATTAATTATTGCTTTCTTGAAATACGGCTCAAAACATTTTCCTAAACTCTCCGTTCCTAGATTATTCAGCAGATTAGCCTTATTCTTTTCCAGCGATGAACAGTGAGGTCGAATATGTCCGTCCTTTCCACGTTGGTAACACCTTATTTTCCGCTGTTTCTCGAAACCTGCTTCATTGAAAACTTGCTTTTTTTTTAGGAGCCTCCACTTTTCTATGCTCCTCTGATTTAATTCTTTGATGACCACTACTTTTCTGATTATAACTACAGTTAGAATTTATATACCGCTCTCTATCTTTCTCAAATGGTTTCTTTAACCCCGCTCTCTGTTCTAACTTCCTCGTTTCTCTTCGCAAAGCCTCATACTTGTCGCATTTCTCTGCTAAAATGGAAGCTGTTTTAAATTCTTCCCAATTGTCTAAGTAGTGCTCTCTTATTTCTAGAGGGACTCGCCGCTTAATTTGCTCGGTGAGCAAAGGTTCCTTAAGACTTTCAAAATCTTGAACTTCTACTGAATCCAACCAATTCTCTAAATACACTCTCAGTTTCATACACTAAATCCACCCATAACATTCCGTTTTTTACTAGAATGTTCTTCAAATTTTGTTTTTAGTGCCCAATGAACTAAGCTTGAATCTCTGCATGAGTAATTTCTTAACATGCTGATAATCATCCCCTTTATGTGCTGGTTCTTTTCACTATTAACTGGTCTACATCATAAGGTAATAAAGGAATTAATTGCAAGACCCAATCAATCTCATTAACGTTCTCTTTTTGAGCTTGTTTCTCAAATAGCATAAAGAATAATATTACTCGGTTCAAAACGGGGTACTAGATCTTTCAAATTAATTTTTTTTTCTCTAGATTGTTCAACTTTCGAAACCGTGGAAGCTAGGCTATTCATCAGTTTTAACATTTCCAATTCAAAAACTCGCTCCCGTTCCGCTCTCTCTTGTTCACGTTCCCGTTCTGCTCTCTCTTGTTTACGTTCCCGCTCTGCTCTCTCTTGTTCACGTTCCCGTTCTGCTCTCTCTTGTTCACGTTCCCGCTCTGCTATTTCTTCTGCTTTTCTCTGCTCAGCCGCAGCCCAAATTCTTGCCGCGTATTCTTTCGCAGCTTCTTCTTCATAGTCCTAAGCATTTAGAATAGCCTGCCTAATTTCTCTTACTCTATTTGCCTGAGACACATTTATTTCAAACTTCTCCGCTAACTCCATTAGCAGAGCTTTAGTAAATTTCCTCATAAACTCACCCATTATGGAAAATTAAAGAAAAATAATCTACCCAAAATACAATAAACACAAAAACAACAACAGGTCTATCTCTCCAAAACTGAATAATTCCCTAACAATTCTGAACACAAAATTGGCCGTACAACACTTAGTGATAATACCTATGCCTACAAACAAAGCGTATATAAAAAATGCTAATTAAGAGGCAACCTTTTCCTGCTCTATATCCAAAATAAGCCTAGTCTCGAATAACTGGCATAACTTCTCCAAAATCACAAAAATGGTACCAATTTTGAAGACGCCTTCGATTGACTCTCCTGGCACTACTTGGATATTCTTCCGGGAAATTTCACTATTTTGCGGCACTAGATCACGCTTCCTCCGGCGTTCCCTTCTGACACAATGTCACTTGTCACTGAAGAAGCTTCACTACGCAAACTGTACTTGCATGCAAAATTAGATTGTACTTGAAGAGAAGAAAGTCTTGACTGTTCACAGAAAACTCAAGTTCACAGGTGAAAAAGTCCATTCCTAAATTTACTCTCAGGAACAATCCCTAGAAGCTGCCACCAACTTTTAATATTTACTGCTGTGGTGTAGTGGCCGAAACCGCTATGCAAACCCTGGGTTGTGACATCAGGTTGAAAACAAAACACAGCATAAAAAATTTATTGAATGCTAAAAATATGGCTACATACAATTCAAAAGAGAAAAAACTTAAATCTTTTTCTTAAAATCAAATTCTATACATCAGTCGTGCGAGAGCCATACATGGCTCTCGAGCCAGCTTATTTAACATTGCCAGCAATTTAATATTATTTTAATAACAACTATTTTTTACAACTTAATATTATTTTAATAACAATTAAATAATAATATTTAGTCCCATGATTTCATCACGTATATTGCACTCTGAATTTGCAATTTGAAATCATTCGTCGTAGATTTATGCGACCTTATCACATTATTTACTGGCTTCAAGGGCCCCTAGACAGGAGCAGTGTTGCAATAACCACCTATACTTGCGAGATGGTGCCTATAGATACCAGCACCAAAAGGAGAAATACTGGGTCCTGCACACATTAAGTCTAAGTGACCATAACCATTGAACACTGGTAATTTTTCGATATTGAGAGATCCATGTAAAGCCTGAAATGCATTTTTACTTTGAAGTAGAATTTCTATGCCTCAGACCTTGGGCTGAATCCCAATGTTACTTATTGATTCCAAGGGCTCCGAGACAGCAGTGGTACAGTTACCACCTGTACCAAGAGATGACCTAATAAATAGAAGTACCGAAGCAAGAAAATACTGAGCCCTGTCTACCAACAATTCAAGTGGTTGTAACCATTGAGTATTGGTTAGATTGGCAGATCCAGATCCCTAGTTTTATTAACTTGTGAGACCATTTTCTTAGTAACTATTCATACTAGCAGCTCTGATTTTACCTTCCTTGATAAAACTTCACCATTTTCCTGTGTATTATAAACTGGGATTTCTATTTTGAAATGTGTAATAATGAAAGTCAAGAGTCGCATATATTAATATGTGCCATATAATATTTACTATTCATTAATGGCAGTGAGGCTACAAGTAGGACTATTAAAGTATTTTTATTTTCTGTTTTACATAGTTAACGTTATTTGTATTATGTATTATAAAGTTATGTATTGTTTTCCTACCCATCTTACTAATATTCTATGTATCCATTTCTTTCAGAAAGCTTACTGAATCAACGCAATCAAAATTGAGTCGTTTACGTCCTGGTGTTACCTCTTGTAGCACTCGAGCAGCTAAGCTAAATGGTAATTTTGTGGCAATACCTAGTAGTGGTAGCAGCTGTAGTGGTAGTACAAGCACTTTGCAGGAAGATTTATTTAAACTCATAAATCCTGAATATCTGGATAGTGACAGCAATAGTGAGGTAAATGTTTACTTTTTCCATTGTTTTGAATTTATTTTATAAATATGCATAAATGTGCTATATGAATAAGTTATGTTCAACAGTTTAAATGTCTTGTAGTGAGGTATAATTTTTGTCTTTTTTAAGAACTGATTCTTTTATTCATATATATTATTATTATATTTATATTATTATTTTTTAATTTGCCTCCATGAAGCTGCTTTCTTGCTATATATATGCAGTATTATGATTTAAAACTGTCGTAAAAGTTGTATTCAAAGTTGTGTTGCTGAAAGATGTTTCATTGTATGTTTACTATAAAGCCATTTTGTTTTGAGACAGGCAGTACTAAGTTAAAACATCACTCTAATTAAAGTGTTAATATAGAGTTCGTAATTACTGTTATTGTCATGAGTTCATGAGCATTGAGGCTGGAAATTAGTGATGCAGAATATTATTATTTCTAATGCTTGTAATAATAATAAATAGAGAAGTTAATTTAGAATCATCATTACTTATTTGCATGGAGAAATCTTGTTTGTCAAGAGGGGATATTTATGTATATTAGCTGCCACTTTTTATCTGCTGTTAGTCTAAAGTAAATTTATATCTGATTTTTTTTATTATTATTGTATTTTATTAATCTTATTAAATTTTATTTGAATCTGAGTTGTCTTAGTCTACTGTAGATATTTGTGGATTTTTTTATATCAAGGTTCAAGCAGATTTCGATCAATTAATGTTTGTATTTAATTTTACTTCAGTGTATGGTACATTTCTAAGTTTATCCATAGAATCACTAAGTACACTGCGAAAAAAAAAAGGGGGGAAGACAGTTCTGTATACCCTGTTCTACTAGGCTGATTGACGAAATTCAAGCTGCATTTTTCATGTCTCAAAAGCGCGACTTAGCATATATATTAAATTTTTAAAAAATAAAAAGTGTGACTATATATATTAAATTTATATATAGCATTATTCTAACATAGGTATTTTGACACAAAATCCGACTTTTTCTGAAATGAGATGCCAATTTTTTGCATCATTCGATTCTATGAAATAGTTAGGCATATTCTCAATTTATGCCTAACTATTAAATTTTGTAAAATTTGGTTCAAAATTCAAAAATTTATCTTGGTACTTTTTTTTCAGTTTATGCCAAGAATAACTCACTTCTTAATACATGGCAACCTATTTCCCTTTCTATATTCTGCGTGAGCGGAAAAAAAAAAAAGTGACATCGTTTTTTTTTTTTTTTTTTTTTTTTTTTTTTTTTTTTTTTTCCCCTCCAAATAATGTTCTTTATATTATATTTTTAATTATAATTATTATTTTAAATATTTTTTTTCCTTTTTTGAATTTCATTTTAATTACTAATTCAGAAGTCAAACAACAAAAATCAGCGTTATATTTACAAAATTTTCACAGGACTAGTTTTGATGGTTTTACCGAACCACCATCCTCAGCTGCAAAACCGCAAATGAACAAGATAGGAAATAATGATTAGATAAGATAAGAAAGCCTGGACAAGAATAAGCAAGTGGCGCCATCTGTTGGTGAAACCAGAACTAAAACATAATTTCTTTAAAGGCCGAAGGCAAAGTTGGATTGGAATTAGGATCGTTAACTAGAACAAAGATTTTTATGAATGTGAAATGTCTTTAGAAAATCCAGTTCTCCAATGGAAGATGTTTTTTTGAATAATTTTGGCAGCAGAAAAATTGAAAGTGTGATTTTCGGACCAACAATGTTGAGCAACAGAAGACTTCTGCGTTTCCTTTTTTCTAACATATGCCTCATGTTCCTTGACGCGAAATATTAAGGCTCTGTTAGTTTGGCCAATGTAAATTAAACCACACTGACAAGGAATCCTATAAATACCCCAGGAATTCATATCCGGAATGGGGTCCTTGAGTATGGAACTCGAAATTTTTATTGATGGGAGAATAAACAACTCGAAAGTTAAATTTCTGCAAAATATGGGCAACTTTATAGTTAATTGACGTCTACAAAGCAAAACCATGTTTCGATGTTTATTAAACAAAAAGTGGAATTGCTGCAAAAAAATGGATAAAGGCATATATCCGTCTCAAAATTGTGCAAGGAGTATGGCATTGGAAAGTTAATCCTGTAAATTTTGATACCCTTTAGATCATAATTGTTCTTTATTTCATAAATTACGATTTCATATTTTGAATTGTATAATTTACCAGATTTAAATTGATGATCTAATATCCGGAAAAATCACAAATCTGGAATCGTCAAAGTCCCGATGAGTCCGGATTTCAGACTTTGACTGTATAAATCTAATACAGTACAAAGTCTGTAATCCGGACGTCCATAATCCAGAATGATCTATAATCCAGACCTCAAAGCTGCAAACTTTTATGCACATGCGCATAATGTGTTTATGCATGTGCGTTTAATGTATAACGGACGGTATAAGCTAGGCTAAAATTATCTAAGGCATTTCAGTTAATGTTGCAGATTGTGCTGTTCCTTAATCTTCTAATTGGATCCAGCTTATTATTTTTTGCAGACTGTTAGAGCAATTTTATAAAAAGTAAGCTTAAGCTTTTGATTATGTCAAAAAAAAAGTTTCCAATTCTGGAGCTGCCAAAGGATCTACAAAGCGAAAGCATGTTTGGATGTCCATTAAACAAAAAGTGGAATTGCTACAAAAAATGGATAAAGGCCTATCTCTCAAAATTATGCGAGAAGCATTGCATTGGAAAGTCCACTATATATGACACAAGAAAAAGGAACTTTTTGAATCTTTTGTGGAAGTACCTTACAATGAAAACAACTTACATTGAAAAAAATGTTTAATAAAGTAATCAAATAAATATTAGCGTTTTTTTTTTTTTTTTTTTTTTTTTTTTTTTTTTTTTTTTACGATTTCATATTTTTATTTGTATAATTTCTACATGCCATCTTACCAGATTAAAATTGATGATCTATAATCCAGAATCGCTGAAGTCCCAACGAGTCCGGATTATGGACTTTGTACTGTATATATCGTAATTTTCGCTTCCGAGACATGAAAAATGCAATTTTAATTTCGTCAATCAGCCCAATAAAAAGGGAGATATAGAATTGTTGCCTTTTTTTTGTTTTTGTTTTTGTGTTATGTGTGTGCAGTGTACATTAATTGTCAGTTTGATTTTCATTGTATTTAAATGTATTTTGAGAAATAAAAGTTTTACTTCTCTACTTGGGATTTTCTCAGTATAAAAGTATAATATTTTTTTTTTAATGAAATTAACCAAGGAACACAAAATTTTGACTATCGAATGAAATGCAATATGTTTTGCATCAGAATTGAATTGCATATAGTTCAGTAACCTGAAACATGCGTTATAAAGTGAATTAAAATTGGTTTGGAATTCCTTTGAAATGGTGTCATTGTGCATCATCAAAACCTTGTGGTTTTCTAGCAGAAATATTCTGATTTTTAAGATTTCAAGGTTGGCAGCTGTGATACCTGCACTCGCTTTTATTTCTCTTGTCCTCTCCTTTTTTCCCCCGCTCCATAAGTAAACAGGGTTTGTATGGTCCTTAAGAGTCCTTGGGTGTTTTTTTTTTTTTTTTTTCTTTTTCTTTTTAAATTGGTTTTTGGTTCTTAAAACAGGGTTGCCACGCTATCTGGAAAACCGGAAAAAGTCAGGGAATTAGAAAATTGACCAAAAAATTCTGGGAATTTAAATATTTTAGTCAAAATCTGGAAAAGTCGGGGAATTTCATATGGCTATTCCCCCCCCCAAAAAAAAATGAGTTTTGCGCCGATACTGGAAGCGATCACTTTCTTGGCGAATCGTGTATCACGTGAGCGTCATTTGGCCAGCTGGCATTGAGCCAATTTTCGCAGCTCCAAATATATTGTCTTTTAGAAAGGCAAAGCAAGTTTCCAGCAGCTTTGCTTTCCAGTAACCTCGAGAATCGACAGAAACGCATGCGCATGCATGTTGAACTAAACAAAATACTTATTCTCGTATAAAACAAAATCGGTTTAATCTTAGTATATGGTACTATGGAAGTTAGAATCAAAGAATATGTATTGTTAAAAAGGGAAACTTCTCTGCAACAGGAGTGTCTCCATTCCAACATAGAGGGAAACAGCTGCGCGCAAAATATCTGTCGCCAAAGTTCGAAACCCGTGTTGGAGTTCGAAGGTCACTTTATCAAGAGTTCATAAAATGAATATCGTTTAAAATTTCTTTAAACTTTAAAAGAAAAGTAAATATTTTTTGTGCAAGTAAATTAATTAATGGATTAGTTATTTTTTTTTGGGGGGGGAACCCTACTAAAATCCGTGTTTAAATTATTGCAAAAAATCAAATAAGAAACGCTTTGTCAAAGAACGTTTTTTCTTAACACCAGTTCCTCAATTTCCTGTACACATCACAGAGAAATTCTGGCTGCCAGGTTCCGTAGCCAAATCCCTTGGCGATTTTTTCCTCTGCTTTCTAGCGGCGTAATAGCATTACGTCTATGGAACCTTTCCTTCTTTACACAGACGTTCTTTGGTTAGAATAACCTCCATGTACGATACACACGCGATTTGGCGACATTATGATGAGTGTTGGAAAATATAACTTATTGTAAACCTTTTACTGCATCATCTCTCCTCCTTGAAATGTTTATTTAGTTTAGTTCTTATTTTTAATGTAATATAGTAGTTACTTCTACTTCTTTTTTCTTACTGCCACTGTTTGCGTTGAGAACGGACTGTTTCAACCTAATTTAAGATGCAAAAACGAAACGTGATGTTACGTTATCTGGAAAGTCGAATCGTGCCGATAGCTGATTGGTTGCCGTGAGATGACGTTCATGCCTACTTCTGCTATAAGTATCTCGCGTCGCTCTGGCTCACCCTCCTTTCTAGTTCCTGGTTCTTGGCACTTGGGCGTGCAGTTTCCAGCCCCTTCAGAAGGATGCGTGCAGTCCGGTGAATAAAGTTCCTTGGTTCCTGTCCACAAGATGACTGTTCCTGAATAAAGTTCCTTGGTTCCTGTCCACAA